CAGTGTACTGGCCTGTACTTCTAGCAAGATAGTACATGTGCTCCAATTTGGATCGCCTTTGTCTTCTCTTTTTCTTAAATTGCAGTGTTCTTTGGTAGATTTTTTGCCTTTGTAGCCTTTTTGAAGCTGATTTCAGATATCTGCCAGCTCTTGGTGACAGAGTATGACCCGCTATGCTGCTGACTTTTTTCTGAACAGAGACCTGCAGTGAATTATTTATCTGCAGTGTTTTTGAGGCAAGACTGCCGGCAAAGTTTCTTGCCAAATTTATTTCTTTAGGCAAGGTTGATAACACTGCTCTATTGAATCCTTCACATTTCTGTGTGGAGAAATTCTTTGTTACGCTTTGGACAGCGTATTCACTCAGACGTATCTCTAGAATAGCCGACAAAAGGTCACGATCATTTTTTGTCATTTTCAGATGATGAATACCATGTGTTGGTAGATAGGAAGAGTTATACCACCAGTCCCCAACTTCCCCTATGCCAGAGCAAACTAGCGAGTCATCTGGACAGAAGTTACAGCTTCCAGCATAACACTCCAATGTGGCTCTACGGATTGCAGGTAACATATTAAGATTTCCTTTGAGACCATTTTCTTTTAATCGCAGCTTTTCAATAATGGCACTGCATCTAGCTTTTATATCCTTTGCGAAAGCTACAGTAGCTTGCTGTTTTGCTTTGCTAGATAGTCTCTCTCCTTGAAACAATGTTGTGCTCCAATTTGAAGCTCGGGCCCTTCTAATTTGGCGACTGCCTAGATGATGAGGGTCAGCTTGACGGGCAACCTTCCATGCGCTTCCTAGTTTGTTGTAGAAGTCAGTCATTCCAAGGTGGGCTTTTGCATCGCCATCTGTTGTCAGGGTTCGAACCAATATGTCTTCCTTTGAAAGCTGCTCGGCAATGTCATATGCCATTTGCCTTTCAGAATGAGGCTGCATGTATGGCATTGTTGCTGTACAATCAAAATGGCCAGGGCAACTGACTTCGAATCCCTTGTTTCGCATATATGCACCAGTCCAGCAAAGCTTATTTTGCACTGCTAGTCCCACTATATAGTTATAGCTGGTATGATTTTCAATGGCAACACCATAAGCCTGCGAAGCAGCCTGCCCAGGCTTGTATGATGAAACCATTCTGGTAGCATTGTAACGGCCATCAAAGGACAAGTCCAGATGGTTCGGATGGGGGTCTTGATTTTTCTTGTTATGTTGGATAACAAGTTTCCTTTTCTCCTCCATATCTTCATTGTTGAGCTGTACTGTGTTTAGACTTGCAGTATTCATTAAAATCTGCATATAACTCCTGCTAGGGGCTGGTATATCCATTGATGTAAATAACAAGTTTACTTTCTCAATTCCAATAGATGTATCCTGGAGTGCCGAAGCAACTAGCATGTTAATAGCCGCCCCGTTACTTCCAGGGCACTTAGTAAATGTGTCCATTTTGCTTGTAATGAATTTGCAGGATGTACACTGGAATTGTAGCCTAGAGCCAAGTCCAAGTTTTTGCTCAGATAGTAATTTGATGTAAAACTGATCACATTTCTGAGTACTGTGATCTTGAAAAATTTGGTTCATCATTGCAATTTGTTTGTTTAAATTAATCACTCTATTTCCTAGCAGTGTTTCAGAGTTATTGTTTATTTGCAGACATGTCTGTGACCGAAGTACTGGTTTCCTGTAACAATGAACCTGATCTTGGCTTTGATCTACACAAGAAATATTACCAGTTGGTAAAAAAGCAGTCCCATCAGGAGCACTCTTAGAAGGTAAAAATTTGTGTCCCTTCTTGAAACTTCCAATATTAGCGCGTCTCTTTCCCATATTGCTTATCAATATTTTTCAAGAATGATGGTCAGTTTGATAAGAAAAGTTATCTAATGCTTTCTGTTTGAAAAATAACATTGATTTGAAGTGGAGAACTGTATTTTATTCTTCTACAGACCTTATTTTAAGTTAGAGTGTACTTATCTTATTTAACACTATAACAACAAAGTTGCTAATCTTTTTGTAAATACTGTGGCCCTTTCTTGATATATTAAACAAACAGTGAAGTCAGTAGATGTTTGAAATTTACTTTATTTACCTATATATTTATGTAAAAGTATTAATCAGAAAGTTTTATAAGGATTTTCTTTAAAAAAAGTCATACTAATTGCACATTTAATGCCTTTTATTTAATATTTTTAGCCAAAATTTCATGTTTTTTAATGTCGAAATGGATAATTTGTTACCATTTTATAGAATTATGGTGTAATTATTGTATAATTTCATACTATAACATAAACCGGTCACATAAAACTTTGTTTCATAAAAATCCATTGCCTATTTCAAAAGATATGACATTTTTCATAACATCACTTTTTTATCATTTATTCTATTGGCCGAGCCTGAAATTCTGCAAAATGGTCCCCAAACTAGAAATGGTCCTGTATTTATATTTCATGTTAGAGACCTTGATTTTTTGTATAATATTACTTGCATATCATTAAATTACTAGAAAACGGACAAAAATATTTGATTAAATTGAACTTTGGATTTATTTAGGTCTCACCCCGGTACGGAATTAGACCCAGCCCGTTGTAGGCTAGAAAATAGTTCTTTGAAATTTTGAAGTGCCCTATTTCAAGTCATTTTTGATGTGACTGGTTACATTTTAAGTGTATTTATTGTAACAGTGTACATTTAGTGTCATTTCTGATGACTTTAAAAGTTGTTTTTTGTGTATTCTGCAGGATCTCATTTCTTGGTGGAAGGATTCGAGAAGTACTACACGCCAGCATACATGACATTTGAAACTTTGATAATTTGACAGTGACTTAACAAATTAAGAAATATTGTGAAATCTAGATGGCTAACATAGGACATTTCGGGCTTCGACTAACTTGTCTAGTGTTAATGTTTAAAGTTATGAAATACAGAATTCTGCTGAGTTTAATAGCGAGCTCGACGAGCTGGCCCGAAGGGCCTGCTCGCAAAGCGAGCTTTACGGTAACGCGAGTACCTGCTAAGTGATGGTTTTGAAAACTTTCGTCCAAAGTACCGAATTGGACACATCGCAACCTTTCGAATTTAAAGATAACGATAAAAACTGAGGAATTCTGGCTGAAAACGGATGTGCATGTAGACTGGTCACCCGCGCACGTCTATGGGAACCATAATTGGACAGGGAACCAGAATAACGGAAGCTGTGTATAAAAAATGAAAATCGAAGGCGCCATTTTGTTTGAAATCTGATAAATAAAAACAATTTTTTTGTCGAATTTTGTTGTGAAAACTATCTAGAATGAAAGAAAATGGTCTAACTAAGAAAATGAATTCGAACACCAATATCTTTTATTCAGTTGTTAACGCTGTACAGACGTTTAAAGTATTGTTTACGTGACGTCACAATGTAGCGCGTGCAAAACAAACAAATCAAGTACGCTATTTTAATGTCGCAAACGTTTTAAGTTTTACATTTATTTCACTTTAAATAATCTTTATTTCGCTTGAAAAATTATAGAGTGAAATAAAATAAACATAGTTTTATTAACGTTTATAAACGTTTTCAAAACTCGTTATTCATTTCACGACAGGGGCGGAGCCATATTTAACACAGTACGTGTGACGTCACACGCACTCGTCACTGCATTTGAAATAAAAATGAGCGATTATTTCATACTATTCACGTAAAAAGTACATCGAGCTCGCTTTGAGGCTTTGCCTTTTTCATATTAGAAGTCCAGAATGAAGCTTTAAATGTGACAGATTTACTATAGAATAAAGAAGGACGAAAATGGACAGGTCCGTGTCCAAAAAGGAAATCTCGGTGAATTCCCCACAGCTATGTACAGAAAGTACCGGAAAACGGAGTTTAGCTAGGTTTTCGAATTCGTGAAGTTTTTCTTCCACTGGAAAATCAGTGTGATATATATGCTAAGCAGTGCACTATAAATTGTGTAAAAATAAAAGTTTATTAAACTTATGCACTGTTTTTTGTTTCTACTATTTGGTATATATTTATAGCAGTGCTTGATCATAAGAGTTCATCTGCAAAATAAGTGTCACTGTGTACTTTAAATCTCTAACAGCAATGGCTAGATTGCTTGAATATACAAGCATTGACTATATTAAATACTATGCATGTCATTTGAATTTTGTTTGTCCTGAAATCGAAACAGACACTATCTAAATAATATTGATGAAAAGTTCTTGACAGCTCTTCAATGACTACATTTACACATATGTACATGCCAGGACAGAAGTTAAAAGCATTGTGTGGTGTTTTTTTTTTGAAACATTGACAATTTTGAAACAGTTCCAATGGGTATATTAATGTATCAGTGATGTAATTGTTTTGTATCAAGTGCAAACCCTAAGTTTTGCATGTATTGTATAGATAATTCACTTTTGGTCAAATGTCAACAGGTTCAATACATTATAAAACAGGTAATTTGAAACCCAAAGAAGTATATGGTATGTAATAACTACACCTCTGATACTAAAATCTTCAAGGAATGCAGAATTGCAAGTCTTCTCCAATTAAGAGAGAGACTTGGGCTTACAAGGGCTAGCAAGCTAGTGTTTTGCTACAGAATACTCAACACAGATGAATTGCATTAATATTGTTTACTCTGGTATTACTACCTGCCATGTACAATGCAAATCATGGCTTTTCTAAGAGCAGTGAAAGGCTATAACTGGAAGGAATTTTACACATCTTGCCTCAGAAACAAGTTTTTCTTTGAGATAATTTTATGATATTTAAATAATGGTTAAAGATTACATTACTTTTACAATTGCAGTGATCATGGTGATAATATGAAATGAAACTCAATCAAGATAGAAACATTTTAATGCTGAACATTTATCTTTTTACCATTCCTGTTAATTTACAAGTCTGTTTATAACAAATCTATCTTAACTGTTTTGAAACTACATGATGCCAGGTTGAAACTGTTTTGGGCAGCCATTTGCAGAAGATAAATTATCTTTGAATAATTAAGTTAATACAAAGTTACAAATGACAGGTTATTTATTTCTAATAAAGACAGGTTATTTATTTCTAATAAAGACAGATATTTTGTTTAACATTTTTACACTGACATATATCTTTGAAGTGTCTTCAACCTTAGTTTTTATTAGAATACAAACATTCAGTCAGACAGTTTACACAAGACATGGAGCTTTAAGAAGCTTTAATTCAGTCAAAATCTGTAATGGACTGCCATGTCTCTACCACTATGTACTCCAACACTGTGTATGGACATTTCCTTTCAACTATGCCTGGTGGTCTAATCTGATGGTGAACACTCCAAAATAAATCAAGAGCCATGACAAGTACTCAAGATCTAACCATGAAATCACATACCTGTATATAAAGAAAATTTATCATGAGTTGAAAGCAATAATAATTGGTCAGCTATAAATTTCAATCATTTTCATATTGTCATGAATAGAAAATAATGTTGAAAAGGAAGAAACACTTCTTGGTGTCCTAGTTTTTGTAGATTTGCTTTGACAACTTTAAAAAAAGTGATAGTGACTAAGTTCTTTTAACCATTTACTGAACATGATTTAACTAAAAAATATGACCCACTTACTTGAGAAAAATACTTTAAACAGTATTTAACATGAATTAACTACATATGCCATACTGTTTGTTTATTTAGCTACACTGTAATTATTTACAAAAACGAGAACATTATATGTTATACAATAATATTTATTTCTCATTAATGTAGTTTAAGTAGCTTTAAGTATATATTTCTTACCAAAACGATTTTACAGCAGAGAATGCATGTGTATTTACAATGGATACTGACGTCTTTCATCTCACCACTGTCCTCAGTCAAAATATCTACAGGAGCAAAATATTTCATTGAATTTTATGACAATTTAAATTGGTTATAATTATACAGCTTGACTGTTTGTGCTTTATAAAGATAATAATTATAAATAAATAATATTTTCAGTTGGAAGAAAATATATTCAACTAAAACACACTGATAATCACACTGAAACGTTTATCCGAAATATGCGCTGTCCGAAATTTCTAAACATTATATACTTCTGAGAGATAATCATGTAGCGCTATAGAAAATTGATAAAATCAAATTCACCAGTCTAGTGTCAGATGCGAATGATGTTGTATCAAAAAACAAATTTATTAGATTTACATGGAAATGAAAATATTACAACATTTATTGGGATAAACCGAATTTGAAACGACACACCCACCTGAAGATTATACGAAGTTGTCTTTCATTGATACTTGTTCACAAGATGAAACCATTTGCATTTCGTTACAAAACAAAAAACTCTGCCAATTTCCACATATCATTTGCTTTTCCATGTAAGTTTTACTTTCCCACCGACATACAAGTATTACCCAATATAGATAAGCAATGTTGTTGATATTTGTTTGTACCCGGAAGTGCAAAATATCGTGAAATCTCGCAAGTCACATGACGAGACTTACATACCCTATAGGTGTATAATTCTATATATTTTTAATTGTTTTTCTTATTTGATTTCCTTTTTAAATATACACATGTACTGTAGTCTACACAGGCACGAGTATCGGACCTGGGAAGAAAAAATATGACCAGATTGATAAAAAAACCTGTGTTCATCTTAAAAGTGTAAAAAAAAACCAAACAAAAACAAAATGTAAATAATGACCCCTTTAAAAATATACTATAAGTTAAGCTACTCTTAACTTATAGTATATTTTTAAAGGGGGTCATTATTTACATTTTATTATTTATTTTTTTTTGACACTTTTAAGATGAACACAGGTTTTTTTTATCAATTTTTTTTGGACACTTTTAAGATGAACACAGGTTTTTTTATCAATCTGGTCATATTTTTTCTTCCCAGGTCCGATACTCGTGCCTGTGGTAGTCTACAGCCGGGCAAGCCCCGTATCAAAGAGCGCTGCAGCCCTCGCAGCTGCTTTGACTTACGGTAGATAATAGCCGAGGACATTCCGATTAGAAAATGACGTCATGAAGATTTTTAGACGTTTCGGTTCCATGACGTATCGGCCCAAAATTACCCAAGACGTTTCGGCCCCAGGCGTTTCGGCCCTTTACTAAATCGGCCCCAGAATAAGTACTGTATTATAAACCAGTATATTCATAGCATTTCAATAAATAAATGAATTCAATTATATATGTATATAATCATTTTGTATAAGAACTAGGTTATAATAGTAGGGAAGGAATGGAAGGCGGAAAGTAATCAATATAAACAGAACAGAACATAAACTTTATTTGAAAAATATAATGCACAAACTAACAATAATTTACAACATATATAGATAACATTTCATTAAAACAAACAGAACAGAACATTAACTTTATTTGAAAAATATAATTCACAAACATTATTTACACCATATATAGATAATATTTTATTTGAACGATTAAGAAACAAGACACAAAACAAAACGTGAGACAGACATTAAATTATCATCATCAACAACTATTTAACAGTGACAAGTTTGACGGATACAAAAATACAGGTACAGAACAGTTAAACAATTTTACTTGAAACAAAATAAATGTGAACAAACACTTCTGCAGTTTTACAATTAAACAACTTTACTTGAAAACTTGTGTGAAAAGACATTTTTATAAATAACATTTTTACAATAAAATTAATTAAGTGACAAAACAACACAGGACAATTAAAAGATTTACACTAGATATATACAAACCGAAGACAATAACAAATGAACTAGAACAAATGGTAGTCTAGCTTAGTCTTAGTAAAGACAATCTCAAGAGAGAATATAATGTTTTCCAAACTATAGTCATGATAAGGAACATGTATTCTGTGGGTTTGTATAGTTGGGATGTAAATATAGTCAAGACAATTTTATAAATTAACCAATTTATTAATGCCCATTTATTTCCACATTATATATATATTTATTTACGAGACAATTAATTAAATTTTTTAAAGAAAATATTTATAAATAATTGGCTAAATTGTATTGATTGACAAGGCAGTCGACTTTACACTTTGTAGTGTTTGATTCAAGACCGAAGTCTTTAGTTAAATGTAAAGGCTTGAGCCTTATTGTACTGACCAAAGTGGTGCAGCACCCAACTTCTTGTCAATTGTAAAGCTAGGCAAACAATAGAATTACAATTGATTGGATAACGATAAGTAATAAAATATAGAAACCGATTCGTTAATTACTATCAATTCACGAATTCGAAAATCTAGCTAAATGCCGTTTTCCGGTACTTTCTGTACATAGCTGTAGGGAATTCACGTAATGGTCTCAACCGGTACGGAATAAGACCCAACCCGTTGTTCTAGAAAGTAGTTCTTTAAAATTTTGAAGTGGCCCAATTTAAGTCATCTCTAGTTAGATTGGTCATAATTAAAGTGAATCTATTGCATGTGTCTAGTTTTTGTGTGTTATAATATTATGATGATTTTAAAAGTTGTTTTTTTGTGTATTCTCCAGGAATTCATTTGTTGGCGATAGGATTAAACATGTAATACCCACAGGTAAACGTTGCGTGGCCATGACTTACACTATACCCCCGTTCCCCCTCTACAACCCAAAACCCTAAAAAAAAATTATGAAAAAAAAAATTTTTTATGACTAAAATATTATAATATTTAATTTAGTCATAAAAATTTTATTTTTTTTTCATAATTTTTTTTTAGGGTTTTGGGTTGTAGAGGGGGAACGGGGGTATAGTGTAAGTCATGGCCACGCAACGTTTACCTGTGGTAATACCCACCAGTTGTCAAGAGTTTTTAAAGGGGTGAATTTAAACAGTGTTACAACAGAATGAAGATTTCTGAAAAAAGTAGATGGCCAACCTATTATATTTTGGGCCTCATTGGACTTAGATAGTGTTAATGTTTAAAGTTGAAGACAGTATATAATTCATCAGGAACAGTGGAATCCAGAATTAAGCCTCGAATGTGACTGATTTACTATAGAACAAATAGTACGAAAATTCACCGGGCCGTGTTCGTAATTCCCCAGAGCTAAATCCGTAATGTACCGGAAAACGGTGTTTAGCTAGGTTTTCGAAAAGGTCAATACTGACCAATCAATTTAACGCTTGCGGTATAGATGGATACCGAAAATAAGCTATTTTCGCGAAAATAAGATATCGCTACGAAAATAAGATTTATTTTTGAAATAGTGCATTTATCTAATTAAATAATTATGTAAGTTATATATTTATGCATTCTTTGGGTGATTTTACAGCAAATTAAAATTTCAGAACCAAAAAAATATCTAAAAAAGTACAGTTTGAGCCGAAAATACATACGTACGAATATAGCTCAAATCGCCGTGTGAGCGAAAATAAGATCGGGTCTGCGAAAATAAGATTTATTTTTTGATATTATGCATTAAAATGCATTTTTGTTGTTATTAAATGATTTGTATGAATAAAATTATAAAAAATGAAATATTTTGTAATGAAATATTAAACGTTTGTTCGGTAAATATGGTAAATATCCCAAATAGTATAGAAAGAAGGCATGCGAAAATAACCCAAGATGGCGACTACGAATATAAGATCATAACTTATAAAATTGTATTAATTGCAAAAGTAAATTTTCTCTTATAAAACAAGAAAAGCTAGTCACTGTGGAGTGAGAAACCATCAAAATAAAAGCAAGAATTAACTAGTGCGAAAAAAAAACACCAGAAACAACTACTACAAGAATAAGATCTACTGTATATAGAATATATACAAAAAGAAAATCTATACAATACTCTACGAAAATAAGATCTGTAAGTATGAACATTATGTACATACGAAAAAAAGGTTATACGAAAATAAGACCTCTTAGTAAATAATACCTGTATGAAAATAATATATGTATGAAAATACTTATACTTGCACGAAAATAAGATCCAATTGAAAATCATGATGATCTATACGAAAACAAGATCTGTAAACAATTAAAACCTGTATGAATTGATATTTGTACGAAAACAAGATCTAATTGAAAATATGATTTTTGTCAAAATAAGATATATATACGAAGATGAGATACGTTAAAATAAAATACCTGCATGAAAATACTATATGTACGAAAATAAGATCCTATTGAAAATGTGATCTATACGAAAATATGATCTGTATAAAAATTACTGTATGAATTGATATATCTGCACGAAAATAAGATCTGTATGAAAATAATTTTTTCAACTAAGATTTTTTACAAATATTTTAAGAAGGCCTGTATTTGTAAGAACATAATATCTGTGTTAGAATGATACGAAAAAAAGATCAAAATCTATAAACAATAAGATATCTAGCTATATGAAAATAAAATATCAATATGGAAATGATTTATACCAAAATAAAATATAATTTAAAATTCGTGTAATATAAAAATAATATCTACATTTAGTAAAAGATCAGTATATAACTATTGCTTTAATTAGATAATGCACGGACAAGATCTTTTTATTTGAGACAAGGAAAAAATTATACAACGTATGACACGTGCACATGGCTATCGGCAGCAATCAATGCGCTAATACGATGATTGGATTATTGGATTTTCGCACTTATCGTAATTGACACACACTTATTAAAGCCCATCATTAAAGGTGTTTATTGGCGATTTATCACAGTCACCATATCAAAATATAGATATCTTATTTTTTTTACAGATTTTTATTATCATACAGATATATTTATACACAGATCTTATTTTTGTTAAAGATTTTATTTTATAAAGACAGTCATTTTCATATAGAGTCGTTTTTCACATCATTCTGATCCAGATATTATTATCATATAAATATTATTTTCGAGTAAATCTTATTCCTATACACACATTATTTTCGTACAGATCTTATTTTCGTACAGATCTTATTTTCGTATAAATCTTATTCGAAAACAGACATTATGTTCATACATATCTTATTTTCGTATTGATCTTATATTCGTGGTATTATTTTCTTACAGATCTTATTTTTTTCGTATAGATCACATTTCCTATAGGATCTTATTTTCGTATATATAGTATTTTCATACAGGTAGTATTTTTTACATATCTTATTTTCATATGTATCTTATTTTTGTAAGGATATTATTTTCATTTTACAGATCTTACATTTGTAAAAATCTTAGTCGAATACAGACATTATTTTCATACAGATCTTATTTTCGTATAGACTTATTTTCAATAGGATCTTATTTTCGTACATATAGTATTTCCATACAGGTTTTATTTTCAAATAAATATCAATTCATACATGTTTTAATTGGTTTACAGACCTTATTTACTAATATATCTTATTTTCGTAACCTTATTTTCGTATTAATTAATTAACATTATTTTCATACAGCTTTTATTTCCTTACAGATCTTATTTTACAAATCATTTGATAACACCAAAAAATACGTTTAAATACATTATATCAAAAATAAATCTTATTTTCGTAGACCCGATCTTATTTTCGCTTTACACGGCAATTTGAGCTATTTTC